AATTTATACACCGTGCACCGCAAGAAAGTACGATATTATATAGGTTATTGAGCAACCAAAGTGGCTGACATTCTCATTTCCAGAGTAAAACGCAGCCACAAGGTGATAGAATCCATGTGGGTTACAGGCAACGAAAATAGGCGAGTATAGAAAGTAAATTCGCGGCGGAGAAATTCGCGTCGAAAAGACGAATCCGGCAGCATCTCCCGCTACCAATGACCGATCGCTTTTCTACAGTGTTCCGCCTAATTTTTGCGTAACTTTCATGAGCCGCCGTGACAGGAAGAAATACGTTCGGTTGGACATCAGTGCGAAGGAACGGAATGGTCACACGTGACGCACAAGCGTACAGAACATGTGTGAGGTGTACTGTACGTATGCATACGTATACATTAGATAATTGCCTCGCATCGGAATCGGACGTTGGTCAAAGCGTTTTTTGGTTAAGTTTCGATCGTCTAGAGATACACAGACGTAAATGTATATTCGATAGTTAAAAATAATTTATATTATTATTCGATATCCTGATATTTGTTGGATTAATTTACATTTCAATTTTATTGATTTCTAAATAGAAAGGAATAAAAGTTGTTACATATGAACGTCAATTTTTTTGTAATTTTATTACTTACGGAATAATGCATATCGTATGCACTATAACGTTTTGAAATTTTTGTCAAATTTCTCGAGGTACATGAAGCGTTAGCAGAGGTAAATATTAATTTTATTTCTTTCAAAAAGTAATTGAAGAATATGTTAATTTGTAAGCATTCAATTTCAAATGAATTTAAGTTAGCTATATTTAAGAAATTGTTTCTAAGATATCTTGCATTTTGCTGTTTTAGGAAGAAAAGAATCATTCTATCTGATGTTGTGTAAGAATACCACACTTTTAAATTCGTTGACTTTCGAGGAATTCAATGAGCACTCACAATTACGCAATGGGCTTTACACAAGTGTTTGAAATTAATTTTATTTCTTCTAAAATTTAATTCTAAATGTTGAAACTACTGTAATTTGTGGGGAATTCGAAATTAATTTTTTTATATTTATTTTACTACTGTTCAAACAAGGAAGATATTTTTCAAATATTTAAAAAATACGATCTGATAGAGAAAAATTATATTTTCCACTTCATGTAATTTCATGCTTCGATTGATTATTTATTCTCGACATTTATTGTAATTAATTAACTTAACATCTAGCATGATATGTACACGTTAATAAGTCATAACAAAGTTAAATAGCATCATGATTTCCGTAAATGATACTATTTTTCATGGTTGCGAGATACAATTTCTTTCTTGTCTGATACAGTGATCAATATTTTATAAAAATTTATTATAATGAAAGGCAAAATTTCAAAGGCGTCCAAAAACTTTACTTCCTAAAGCAATATGCAAGTTGTAATTAAATCAAAAATCTACTTAAATTCTAAATAAATGAGGAAGTAAATATATAGAAAATCAGGACAAGAAATTCATGTAACAATGATCAAATCTGTTAGTTATAGTGTGCTACATTCAATTACGTTATGCACTCGCTCTCGTGGCGTAATAAATTGTACCTAAGCAAAAAGATATTTCCTCTGTCATCGATATATCTCCGAGTATGTCGCAAGTGTCTTGAGCTTTGAACAGCAAAATGTAGTCAAACGATGACTCTGTAATGTTAATAAAAAAAAATAATAGTATACCGAATGACAAGTAGTGAATTATTGCCAATATTAAATTAAAGCCTTGCGAATCGGTAACTATAAAAGTTTCTAATGTCACGCATAAATAATTATGTAAGTTTCTATTTCAACAGAAATCAAAATTAACTTTACCAAACTTTGCCAAACATGTCCTCAGTAATTGTAGGAATAAAAGATCCTATTTTTACTGAGGCAGTTTTGCTAATACTAATTTTGAAACAAAAGAGGAAAAAATATAAATATTTTAAATAAAAATACTTTTGGTATTTTATAAGAGTTTCTTCAATGAAAACTTTTCTTCTTAATCATAATCTTCCTCTCGCGAAATTATTATAAAAAGTATAGTTGACTCAAGTAGAGATAAATAAAGCAAGCAGTGAAATTGTTCGCTTCGAAGTTGGAACTAGTGATAACTTTCAATTTTAACGCTTCAAATGAAGCGATTCCAGACAGAGAGAAAGAAAACCGTGGTTTCTTATTCTCGCTTTCTTCGAGACGACGTTCGAAATAAGCTGAATAAACATTATACAATAGTTGAATAGCTCTGTTCGTAACCGAACACCGCTCTTTCGTGGTGCAAACATTGTTGCGTTCTTGCTGCTCCATGATCTCCATTTCAATGTGTTGCATTTTCAAGTCGCCACGCTCGATCGCGGATCAATTGGACCATTAGTTTTCCATCGTGTTTCATGGTTACGAACGTTATTTGCGGTCGCCTCCTTCGTGTAGCTCCAATTTGATGGTAAGTCAAGTACACTCTTCCTCGTTTCTTTCATTATGCAATCTTTTCTTCAACTCGTAGTTCTTTCCCAGAGAAAATTCACAGATCATTATGGTATGTGATGAATGGGAGTTAGTTGTATTGATATGTCCCTGTACTTCCATACAACTATAATACTATATCATACTTCATATACTATACTACCATAGCATAATATAGTTGTCACGCATCGTGATACAGTAGTATAGTAGACATTCTACACAGTATAGTAGTATAGTAATATAGTAGTATAGTGGTATAGTAGCAATATGTTACAGCATAGTAGTGCAGTAGCAGTATAGTATAGTAATTGAATACTACAGTACAATAGTATAATAGCAATATAGTATGGTACAGTACATTATAATACTGCATTAACTATATAGTATGGTATAGTGTATTCGAATAATTAATCTCACAGAAATTGTACTCTATTTCTTTGTATCCTGCGAAAAATTGCATTGATAAAGATGGTAAAAATTTTGTGAATAATTTTATGAGAACAGAATATTAATAAATACTATTACACTACTTGTAAGTGCCACCTTTCATGCTCCTCCTGATTATACAACGTATCTGCAGATTGTCTCAAAAATTATGATTCAATCTTGAACTCTGTTCGAACAACTTAATCAACTGGTCTGCTGTTTTCCTTTTAAATTTCATAGTACCATCTGAGACTTGTGATTTTCATTTTACGAGTCTCACGAATCAGGTGATTAACTGACTGCCCTCTTTGTTGCTTCCTCTATTGTGCAATGTCTTCTGGCGTTCTCTCGAAGATTAAAAATTCAATTATCGTCGAAACTTAACATTATGTTACCAAAGGAACATGTAATCGCAGGAAACGAAACCCCGAATCTTGGAACGGTGTCACTTTGTTACGTAAGTCGATCATCAAAATGTGCTATCAAAGCAGAAATCTGATATTTAAATAATAATACGACGATGACCTATCACATCAGAATTTTTTCATTTACTTCATTAATCATAAAACATCGCGACGAAGCAACTACCTTCGAAAATATTTAATAAACTATAGTAAAATATATGTAATAACTATACATGCTAAGGGAACTCAATAATTACCTTTTACTGTGAAATATTACAAATTTAGGAGACTCAGAAAATTGTAGTAGGTATTCTTATTATTTTATTATAGTTATTTCTTAATTAAAGAATAAGATTTTTCAAACAAAATAGCTCACGAAAATAATTCTTCCCGTGACATATTTTTCTGTGACGTATTTCGAAAAATAATTGTTCATGAAGTAACGACAAAAAGTATAGTCTTTCTTAATGACTGCAATCAGAATAATCTTAGATACACCCTACATTTTCATTTAGCACAATGTAAAACACTCTTTAACTCCTATAAATTTGCCTTAATGCGCAGCTAGTAATTATTTCGAAGTTTTTTATTTCTAAATCATAACCATAAATATCTTGCAGAAATCAACATTTTCAATATATGACTGCGCATGCGTCAGTGACGCGAACGCTACGGAATATTTTAATTACCGTAACGGTCACCATAGGAGTTACAAAAGAGATGAGTGCAACGCTTTAAAATTCTCAGGTTTAATGGTTAACCGGCAGAAAAATTAGAAAAGCCCTGTAGCGACCAGTATTACAATGACCGGGGCCAATAACCGATTGTTCTGTTGTTTTCTAAACAGTAGATAATTGGAAGTTGCTTTACTTTGCATAGTGACGGAAGAATATAGCTAAAATTTAATATAGCAGTATCGAAAGGCTTTTAGAACCGAATTGAAATGAAACGACAAATTAAAAGTTATATCGAAATTAAAGGGGATAGAAAACTTTTAAGTACCTGTTTGACTTGTTTTTTTTATTAAAATACTAATTTCGTAAATTTAACGCCGTCACTCAAAAATTACTTATTTATTATAGTTAATCAACATCCTACGAAAGTCAATCAACATTGTAGAATCGAATAATTATAAAATTGTAAAGATTTTCGCCTGAGTTGTGAAAGTTTAAAATACTCTTGTTGTAAATGATCGTTTTAATTGTTTTATAATACGAAAATGACCATGTCGAACTTGCACGCCACCAATTTAACGTCTTTATAACGACGAAAAAAATATATAGGTTATGTCGATACGAATGGAAAAATATTTATCCCTTAAGAAACGATTCCATGTGTATAATCTCAAAATTCACTTGTTTCGTAAGATTTAGTTTCGATCTATTTTTACAATAACACATGTATAATTTACAAACGACGTATTAAAATAATAACAGTAATAATATGCGTAATACGTCTAATTAAAGTTGCCACAATACTCGCATAATTATTTCACTTTCTAACGAGAACCATATTTCTCATGGCAATTGAGTATTATTCACTTACACATCGTTACAGAAACAATGTTAGCGTTCTTCGTGTATTAGGAATGAGAAAAATCAAACGAAGAAAATTATTACATAATTTTCTCGTTATTCGTCTGTCACCGTATCTACGGAAAGTAAATTCATTGATATTCCGATTATAACAAGTAAAACTTCCGGTTCACTTACCTCGCAATGTATGATCCTTCGATTCTCGAAATTAAAACGTAAACAATCGAATTCTCTATCCTGCGATGTCAATGCACCTCGAGATTTATCGAGTCTTTCAACCGTTACAGTAATCGATAATGATCAACTGCCTTAGTATACACCAATAAATCGAACACGGGAACTACGAAGAACGTTAAAAATACCACAAAATAACGTGACAATAAGATTCACACGAGATTCACGACTTCTTCGCCTCTTATCTCTCAAGTGTTTCTCTTCGTATAGGCAACTTTCTCGAGTTTCTTCACCGAACACTTTTCTCTTCGCTGCACGAATCTAACCTTTTCTCCCGTCACACGTATGCCGGTGCTTTTTCGCGCGAAACGAAACGTCAACGAAATATATCGATAATGTAGTATTGTCCGTTACATCCAGTTTCACGACACACACGAAATATTGTTGTTGCGGTGATAGCTCGAAGCTGACTGTCGCCTAAAGATTGCTAACGATCGATTACCGAATCCCTAAATGGTCTCGCGGATGTGTGTGTCATGACAGAATTGATAGTGGGTTAAGACGCATTTCCGTGTATGCCAAATTTTACTCAACGTCCGATCGTCGCACCGTCGAACACTTGACTGCCGTTGGTCGCTGTTCCCTCTAGAAAATCAAGATCAAATCTAAGTTATCCAGGGATAGGTGGGGGATTCATGAATCGGTAAACTGTCTATATATCTATTTCAGGTGTCGGCATATTACAGGGGAAGGGGAAAGACAGCTCTTTCTCTTGTAAGCTTTCGAGATGTACGATGCTACGGCATCTGTGACTACTACACTCACTGAACCAATCATTGGATATAATATACGAGGGTTAAGTATTATATATGCAGGTTTGAATTTGTATTAGAGTACGGATTTGAATTAATTTCTTGAATTAATTTGCATTTCTGAAGATTCACATCGAATATAAATCGAGTTTTGAGTTTCAATTTCGAAAATATATGTTAGATACGGTTTCTAAACTTCATCTTTAAAACAACCTGATATTATGAATTTAAAAAGAAAGTTGATAGAATATTCGCAATAGGAGAACGAAAAATAAATGTAAGTAAATATGTGAAACGTAAGTGAAGGATATCATTTTACTAAATAAGTAAAAAAGTTTTCAAATTATTCAAGATGAATGCTTACATAATATTTATTCGTCGTTTTAATGTTCAATTTGAAATATCCATGTAAGTAAAATTTGAAAATTACTAAAGATCAAATTTAATTAAGTTATTAACCAATTCGTTTTCATTTCATAAAGCTGATATAAATAGTCGATTATAATTTCTAATTAATAGAAGAAATTATAATTTTTATTTACATAGTTATCCGTTTTATCGACTGTGATAAAAAATAGATATAAATTTCTATATAATCAGCAATCGATATATTATGAAAAAATGATAAATTTTTAAATATTGTATTAAACACTTAAAAATTGATTAATTTGAAAATTATTTCACTGTCTTTATTTTATTATCAATTCCACTAAAATATGTGAAGTATGTTTACTCGTTACCTTATGAGTTTTTGTGTCCATGCCCTGAATTACCGATTGCACAAACAATTAGATTTTCTTATGCCGTGGACAAAATATAAAATAGATCCATCGCTCAATGTATTTTGCATCACACGGTCTAGGAAGTCTGGAGCCACTTACCATTTTAGTGCATTTTCAATGTTACCAATTATGTGTAGAGTAAGCTGCCATCACAAACATACTATCTGTGTCACGACTGGAACACAGGCGAGGTATACTCGAGGTATACTATGTTATCATACATATTTTTTATGGATATATCGTATTGTATAATAAATCGATAATATTGGAAGTGACACGAGAATGATAAAGGGGATTACCCCGAATTGTGTGATACAAATTTATGATATGTGATAAATCTGTCTTACATGTCATCTGTGTTAAAATTTCAGTACTGTTACCAACAAATCATATACTAGTTTGAAATTGCTAAAATTAACTTAACCTAAGCTAATACCCTTATTGTGACATTTGTTAGCCTAATTATTATCTACCAACCTCTTTTTCAATTCATATGAAATTTTTAGTTTATCGAAATGTAGGTAAATAGAAAGAATATTTACTGTTTATATGTTTTCCACGTCTGTGATGTAAAGTAACAAAAACTTTAATTTACTGCTAATTTTAATAACTGTCAAATAGTGAAATTGTAATTTTAGTTTTATTAATTACATTATTACAATATAATTGACATGGAGCAATCAGAGACTTTAGATCATGAAAAGTTTGGTTCTTATCATGCTTTATTAGTTGCATTTAAAACTATGAATGAACGTTGTCAACAATTAGAAATAAGATTAGCTACCGTTGAAGAAGAAAATATGTGTTTGAGACTCGAATGTGGAAAGGATGAATCTGCAGCCATTACAAAAGTTAATGATAATAGCGAGAAAAGTATTGTACAAACTTTAAAGGTTTGTACAATATACATGTTAATATATAAAATGTATGTATGTTATATTGTATTATATTATATTTTAATATATCTTGGTTTTCAGGAAAAAATAGAAGAGCTTAAAAAACAGAAGTCTCAGCTTACTCATCAGGTTTATATGGTGGCAGCAGAAAATCGACAATTATGGAAAAGATTAAATAAATTGACAAGAGCTAATAAAACTTTAGGAAGTCAATTAACAAAAATCTCTGATACGCTTAAGCAACATTCTCCGGCACAACCATCAGATATTGTGTCTTATAATTTTTGGGATATTTATAATTCTACTAGGGATGATAATAATCAGCAACATACATTAACTACAAGCAATGGTTTATACTTAAATATAACTTGTTTAATAATTGGAATTTGTATCAAATTATATAATATTGCACATATTTTGATATAGGTGAGAAAGAACAAAGTTTAGAAGAAATATCACTTCGACTCATAAATAGTATTATGTTAGAAAAGTCAGATCTTGAACAGCAGTATGCAGAGGTAACCAAATAATTAGATTCTGTTTCCTTCTATTGAATTATAGTTCTCTTTAGTTGATAATTATTTCTGTAGATGGTTGAATTACATAATAGTACTGAATTGGACTTACAAAATATGGGTTTTACTTATCCAGAAGATTCGGATACAGACTTAGAATTATTGAAACAACATGATATTGAATTGTCACAGATGGAAAATACATTATTAGTACAAAAAATTAAACTCGAAAGTACACTAAAAAATTTTAAGAAAAAGAAAGAAGGTATAAATAAATAACAACTATATTATAAGTGAAATCGTTTAAAAAGGAACTAATCTTAAAAACAATTTTACAGGATTAATGTGTAATAACTGCCGTATAAATGCAAATAAAAAAATGTGTCAAGCAGGTACTCAATTTAATTTCAATGAGTGTATTAAAGAACATGGCGCAACTCAAACCAGTCTTCAAACATCAAGCCTACCTATGGAAAAGTGTTCCAATTTAGTAGATAATGCAGATCAAGATAATCAGATTTGTCCACTATGTGGCTCGTTTTATGGGAAAGCTACTTCATTTATAGAATTTCATGAACATGTTTTAAGTCATTTTAACAAATAAGTACTGACTGATAGTTTTGATCAAGGTGGAGTGTGTGGTAAAGAATAATGCCTTTCAAACAATAAATGTAAATATCATGTACTTTATGAAAAGTATATTAATTTCTACAGAATTAGAAATGTTTTTCATTATTTAAATTTGCAGACTGTTAATTCAGAAGAGATTTAATGAAGTTACTATAGTGTATAGAGGTGGTGATTTAATACGTGATTTAATATATAATTATAACTATATAAATAACGTGATTGTTATTTATATTATACTTATTTTCATATTAATGAATTACAAAGATAAAATAAGGATTTAGAATGTTGTAAAGAGATATATGTACATATATAATTGTAATGTCACATTTTAAGAATAAAGTAACAATTGTCAATATTGTGGTTTATTTAAATTTGTTTAATGCAAATAAAAACAGGTTATAAATACAAAATAATAATTTAATCCTGCTTGATATTATCTGAATCTTTATCTATAGGTGTTACTTCTGATTCAGGCAATTCCTCTGATATTGGCTGGAGTAAATTTGCACTAAACCAATCAGGCCTCTTTTTATTCAGTTCTACAATTCTTTGATTCTATAAAAATGTAATTGTAAATTATGTATAAAAATCAGAAACAATTTATTTTATAAACATATTATTAAGTAATATACGCAAATGCAATATACCTTCCAAAAGTTATCTTTCAGTTTTTCTCTTTCTCCTTGATATAGTACAATGACATTCTGCTCAACAGGATCTAATTTCAATGAATCTTGTATAGCTTCCTGCATTTCTTTTGTTTCCTTTTTTACTATTTCATAACAATATCCTATAAAAATTAGAAAAAATGAAATTTGTGATATGACAAACGATAGTTATTTAAATATGTATTATATATATTACCGCAAAGTGTGCCGGCTATATAATCATGACCACATTTTCTACACATTAATATATTTGTTTTTGGAACAAATGGTTTCCAATTATATTTAGGAACACCAAACCTTCTGGAAAGACGCTTTTCTATAGTTCGTCGTTTAGTAGGTGCAGCCCACAAAACTGCTTCTTTTAAGGTATCCTTTATGGATAATCCAGGAAAATTGGTGGGTTGTACTTGATTTATAGCATTATATTCAATTGCGTATAAATTGCCTATATAAAGTATAAATAAAATTTTGTAATAATAAGAAGAATGTAAAAAATCATTATATTCAAATATATAACACTGAATATTTTTTGATATTTACAAATAATCTAAATTTGTAATAATTTGAAGAGGTTACAAACAATAAAAAACACAAAACATCTCATTTATAATGTATCAATATAATTAAATTTAAATGCAATATATAAGTATATTTTTTATTACCTGGTGGAAATTTGTGACCTAATATAACATTAATTGCTTGATCAAATGTTTTAAATACTCGACATAACCTAGCAAAAATTCCGTTCGCCATGTTTAAAGTATTCCATAGATTACAACAATTAGTATAAATCGAAACTAAGGCAAATATGTGATGTTAAGGATAATTTACATATAGAAATTCACAAAATTGAATAACGTTTATTTAATTTCTACATATAAATAATTTTGTCATTTTAATTCTTCTAATTATTCATAAGTTATTTTCGAAATTTATTTTCCACGCTATACTAAAAAAAAATTAACGTGAAACTTAATTAGTTTCATTAATTTTAAGATAAATCATTATAAAAAGTATTGATAATACAAAATCTATTAATGGCTACTGAATAAATAAACCGTTAAACAATGTATATGTATATATGTATATATATATACACATGTACAGATTTAAATGGTAAACAATATAGATATCAATTAGAGGTCGCTAATAGACTTTCGATTTAACATTCTTTTGAAAGTCTGTCGATAGGGTCTTTGGGATTACTTAATGATTAAAATTACTCCCGATTTATATTGTTGTTCCCACTAATGCCGCGCAAAGCAAGTGTATTTACAATTGGGGACGGGAAAGGGAAAAATGGGTGGGGAAATGATTTTGAAGTATCGGTGGGGCTAGTGGAACTCGAAAGTCTTCACAAGTCGTGTGACTCGGCTCACTACAGTTTTCGCTATGGCGTGTATAGGGTCGAGTAGGCTCTGTGCTCGTGCAGAGAAATTGTGCCAGTTTGGACATTTCGCCCAATTACGAAGGAAAGTTTCAACGACATGTGTCAAGTCACGACCTAGAATCGAGCATTCAACTAGCACTTTGGTTCAACATTGTCAGGTATGTTAATTTTACTTCTTGGCACTGTTACGGTTTAAGAAAAATATTATTTATAATCATTATAGTTGCAATATAATCGTAGATTACCTCTGTGTCTACATAGTATTTTGTAAAATAAGCATAAAATTCCATTATTTCATTCATGTTCAGTCAAATATTAGCTAGAATATCTCTGTTGTTACTCACATAACCTGTCTTTCATATAGAATATAAAAATCTTTTTACGTTATTACACTCGGTATTTTGTAGTTTCCTGCATTAATTTTTGCTTATAATTACGAAAAAGAAATAAAAACGATACTCTATACCAATAAAATGCATGAAACAAAGAATTATAGTCTATTTCGCAGATTTCGTAAATTACGTAATGTCTACAAAAAAGTGTGGGTAAATCGTATTCCTTTACCAAGAAATTTCAGTCTAGTATTTCGGAAAATGAGCAACTATTTGTCTTATGTTCATTTTTATTTTCATAGTGTAAACGTAAATTCATAAAACAAGCAGTGAAACATTCGTAATATCGCAAACAAAATTCACGAAACCACGTTTTTATTCTGCTTACCTGTCAGCTGTTTCTAGCAGACGACTTATCTGCTGTCTGCTACCGACGTTTATCATTTTCTGTCTATAAAGCAACATCGTTTTGAAGTAACTAACAATTCTCACTGGGAATATATTCAAAAATTATATTTCTAATTATGACTTACTATTTTTCTATTAATATCGTCCAATTACGTTTACAATGTTGTTTAAACTTTATATTGACTATGCTAGCGGCGCGTGACCGTCAAACGCATGCGCAGTAGGCAAATTTGAATTTATTCTTCGTACTTCGTGCAGTGCAAACATAGAAGAATCATCGTTTACGGTAGCCGTTACATACGTCATTCAAAGTAAATTAGTATATTAATAATAACCTTATGTCTCAAACATTATATATCCTATACTAAAAATTTAATTTTTCATTTCCACAATTTCTACTCACGCTTCAATTTCTACCCCAACAATCTCTAACGAAAGTTTTCCATAAATCGTTCCGCGAACGGCAAAATGAATTGCACGACTTTCTCTGCTCGAAAGTGACACAGAGACCGGATTTTGAAATCTCTTTCGATAGCTCGCAAATCGAATAGTTCGTCACGTCGACGACGGTTAATAGTCGTACACGATTATTACGCAAGTCTTAGGCAAATGACGACTGTTTGGGATGGTTCATCACACAGAGGATTGTACCTCCGATCCCATCGATGGTCAATATTAACGAAATGAGTGGGAACCGGTCGCGATGACGACGGGACGAATTTCAAGTCTCGTAAGTAGGCTAACTGGCCCGTGAGATATCCCTCTTCGAGCATGGTTAACCCATGGAATCCACGCTCTTGACTTTCTCGGCTCGTTCAGCTGTACGCCGCGTATATAGGTGTCTGCTGTTACTCACTGATTCTCCAACCAACAATTTTGTACCTTTTATAAGAGCAACATGTTTATCGTAATACTACCGAAATTTAAATTGCTCCAAATTTGATTGTTCCCATAACAATTATGGTGCGTTAATGATTTATCAGAGCTTCGTTGTAGGTTTATTTTTATAAAAGTGAAAATTACAATAGGATTATAAAATTCCCAGTATTTCCTTTTTTCTTTTTTTTTCTTTTTATAAAAATTTGTTTATATCCCTGTCTTATTTTACATTTAACCCTGTTACGTTAGTGTTAAGTTAGACACAAAGCGTGTGCTGTACAGCACTTTCACTCGATTAATTAAACATTTTAAATGCAAACAAGTGACTAATACAATTGAGTTACATTCGCAATTATCTTTCCCAATTTGCTGAAAAATTCCGGAAAAAATTTGATAAATATTGCTTCACTTTTCTTCCTAAATTTCTCTTTGTTATTTAATCCCACCAAGTGATTCTTTTGTCTCCGAAATTACATCCTGTATTCGTAACTATTAATCTGTAATTATTCATCAAAATTTCCCACATTTATAAGGGTGTATTTCCTCTAAAAAATTACACGAAAAATCTGGATAAAAATTTCTTTGATATTTTTCTAAAGCACTCTTTGCTATTAAATTCCATACCACTTTGTTACGTCTATGTAAATCACAAATTACAGTACATTCGCGTTTACTCGAATTAAAATCGTCCCAGGGAAATGCAATTTCTTTTCAAAAAATTTCTGATTTCATACAGAAATTGATTTTATTTTTAATTGTTTTCAAATTAATTTTTAATTTATAGTAATCGTATTGCTGTATTTATTTAATAACAATAAGGTTATTAATGGCTACTGTGGTATTTAAATGCCACTTTAATGGGGTAGGTCGATCTGGATTATTTCGATGCTGAAAATTTATTCGAATTGTTCGTTAGAATTTACCAGGTCATCGTATGAAATCGATAAACCCCGTTGATGCAGATGCAAGGTCATTAACACCGATTCTATTTGCAAATCCTGTTTCCCAATCGTGGTCACTCTCCATATCTCGCGTACAATAAGGGAGATTTCCTTCATTGACGCACGGCGTTTATGCTTTTGACATTCCACTCTCGTGAACATTTGCACGTGTGTGAGCACGCACAGGAATGCATGAATAGTTTTACAATGCGATTATTGTTAAATTACTGCGCATCGCGTTCGATGAGCCAGCCAATAAATTAACATAGAGAACCTGCGTCGGCCTTTTTGATACGTTCGGCCTAATTTCATTAGAGACATCATTAATCGACGATAGTGAGTCATGCATGGGGATATTCAGAAAGTTCTTGGCGACTTTTAAACGTACACAGAAGATGTATCTTCTATATAATCGTATTTTTATTGGGTAAGGGAAAGGTTTGAATTGTAAAAGTACTATCTTTTTTTTTATTTTATCGAAGCTGTTAGATTTGTGAAATTTTTGAAATAACGTCTGATTTAGAAGCGATGTACACGTGTATTTGTATTATCATTTAATTTTGTTGTGTTTATTTGTTATATAATTTTTGGAATCATTTATTTTTGGGAATAATTAGTTTCGACTTCTCATATCGAGGTGAAATTATTAATAAGTAAGGAAAATTATGGTTATAGAGAGTTATAGTTAATAATAAATCTTTTAAATAATAAATCAAAAATTTCTGGATTAATTTATTTCTGGGAATAATTACTTTCGATTTCTCATATCGAGGCAAAGTTATTAATAAGTAATGAAAATTACGGTTATAGAGAGTTATAGTTAATAATAAATCTTTTAAATAATAAATCAAAAATTTCTGGATTAATTTATTTCTGGGAATAATTACTTTCGATTTCTCATATCGAGGCAAAGTTATTAATAAGTAATATAAATTACGGTTATAGAGATAATATAGTTAATAATAAATTCATTGAAGACAACTGTTTTACATATCTTGTAGGAAATCGGTGTTTCCTGTTATGAAAATTCAGTTGTAATAATTTTACAAAATTTACGAAATTTTATTGTAATTAGGGATATTTAATTGTAGTTTTTAAATTCTTTGAAACCTATTAGTTTCAATTAGTAACGTGTATTGTTTATTACATTATTTAATTATTATAGTTAGTATAGTTACTTCGGAATTCTTGAAATGTATCACACATTTATACATAACATATGTATACATATCATTGGTATTTCACGTTGCTTCCAACATGGATGTTCACCTGAATTTCTTCTTTAACGTCATTATAGTTGCTGGCCGCTTGTACAAGGTCATGTCCATTACATTTCACCTTGAAGACTTTCCCTAGCTATGATGGTGTTGCCTTCTCCATGGTACCCATCAGAAGCGATCGAATCGACTGAATTACATCCAAGATAATTTATAAAGATTAATTGGAATTTTTCATCCCTTTTATTCCACTTGGTCGATCTCTGTATAATTTTTAATACATAATATATTATATAACCATTAATATACAATTGTTATATTAATCTATTTTATGTAAACTTATTTAATATTCACGATTAAGTTCGCCTTTATTGCAATAAATTCATACATTTGTATTATTCGAAACCATTGCAGGAATTTAATCGAAGACTAGTTAATATTCGAATTAATGTTCAAAATTACTTTATTATTTAGATATATAGGTTATTCAAGATTCTCGAGACTTATTAATTACTTTCAAGACTTCGTTCTAAAATCTGCCAATTAATTTTGCAAGTTAACCCTTTGCACTCGACGATCTTTTCGTTACAGAAACATAGTAATTCGAAGACTTTCTGCCACAAGGTCGGCGATATTTTCAAAATGGTAAATCAGAAGTGCAAATTAATTGTAAGACGTAGAATTATTTTATCTCGATATTCCACGCGTTGTTGAGCAATTTTAAATTCGAGATATTAATTAACAACGATCTTTAGAATCTGATTAAATATGGCGACTGAGAGCAAAGGGTTAACACAATATAACTATACAATACAACACTGCGTTATCATCGTTCTCATTAGCAATTAATTATTACAAATATTATTTTCCACGCGCAAAGAATTATTCGTAAAGAAAGATACACATGCTTCTCATAATTACCATCATTAGTAGCCGCCTTCGAACGGAAATTACCAGTTTCTGAGACACGTTTCGTAGACAAGTACCCTAGTCTACATGCCGAAACGTCTAGTACTATTAAACACGGTTTCCGTTTCTCCTTTTTCAGCTAGCCTAGCGAAATCACGTTATAATTAGCCTATCTCTCGAGGTACCTAAATGACGAGGTAGCGGAAGGATTGTTTCGATATCAGGGACCGGTCTGTGATTCATATTCCTTCGATTCTTCATGAACTGAATACCTACGGACGAAAAACCATCGATCTCTTGAAATTAGAGTCATAATTGTGGCCCCCCTCACGGGGTATTTTATATTTTTATATCGAGAGCCCCGTTGTTTTCGGCCTAGTCTGTTGCGGTTCCTATGATCGATTGGTGTCCTATGGTGCTGGTCTGTTGGTATCCCTGTGTTCGTCGTTGCTATTGATAGGGTAGTAGATAG